TAGAACCACTGAGCTAAATCCCCAGCCTTCCCATTACTTGTTACAGTTCACTCCAATAGTGCTCTTGAAATGCTGCATCAAAGAAGATAACTTAGGCTTCTGTGATATTTAGTGTTTTATTGTTTCCCAAAAAGTGACTAATCATTTGTAAAGGAGTGGAAATTATGAGCTTTCCTATTAATAATTAGTACATTCATAGAGAGTGATTCAGGCTCTGGGATTCCACATTTCTTTCATGTGCTAGAAGCAACACTTTAATAGAGGTTTGCAAAGTCACTTGGCTGGGATTTTTTTGAAACCAATTTGCAAAAATGGAAACTGAGATAGCAGTACAGTAACTCTCCTTTTAGTTGCACTTATGTGCATATTTAAAAGCAGAAAACTTGAAATCAATATTGGGAAGCTGAAATACACTGGTTTGTTAAGAAGGCTTAATAGAATGTGGATCTCTGGTAATTGAAACGATGCTGTAAAAGTTAAAAAAATTCCTGCTTATATAACTTTGACTTTTGCTCCTATAAATGTGGGTACTTTTATCAACTCGCCTGTACAGTCAATTACAGGCTTCTGAGTATCACTCATTTTACTTGCTAATGACCACAGAATCCTAAAGAACATCCTACACACATTTCAGAATCTCTTGATATGCAAATTAACAGTAATTTTACTGTGCAAGAAAGTGAAGTAAGTTAGTAGATTGTCTACTACTACAATTATTCTTATGTCAATAGGTAATGCATTTCTCAGATGGATAAATTCAAAATGCTAATTTCCCTAAGGTAAATATGCACGATTTTGTTTTGGGTGATTTGAATTGGAGGAAGATTATGGCTCAGTTTTGAATTTTACTATGCACTATTTTTGCTTAGATGCTCCATCCTCACCCTTAATTCCACTTATCCAAGTCTGAACTGGGTGTTTTTCTTCTGAATGAGGCTGCCTTCTCAATTTTCCCATTCTGTGAATATCACCACTATTATCTATTCCCAAAAGCAAAATTTGAGTTCTTCCAGGTTTCTCTGTCTTCTTTACCTCTTAAACTTCTTTGTTACCATATCCTGTCCACTCTTTCTGATAGCTGTAGGATCAGAGAACTCACATAGCTCTCATCATAGCCATTTATTTATTTAGCCTAAAAAATATGTACTGAATGTCTACCATGTGCTAGGCCCCACACTGGAGACTGAGGATATAATGGTGAGCAACGAAGGATGAGGTGCTCGATCATACAAGTTAGTGAGGAAGGAGACATCAATAAACATATGCACACATGTAAAATTGCGGCTGTTCCAAGTGCTATGAAGAAGAGGCATGAGGTGTAATAATAATAATCTCAAATAGATTAGTTTGAGCTAGTTATGGGGGTGGGAGAAGGTAGGCCTCCCTGAGGAAATAATGCATGAGTTGAGGTCTGAAGGATGAATAGAGGTTAATCAAATGAAGAAAGGAGGGGAAAATATTCCAAGTATTGGCAATGGCACATGTAATGCACTTAGGGTAGAAGGAGAATGTTAAATACTGGTAGACTAAAAATGTTAAATACTGGTAGGCTGTGGGCTGAGAAGTTAAGGGTGTGATTTAGCACAAATTGACATTGGAGAGGTAGGTAGGGGTCAAGCATGGGTAGCTTTATAGGTTCTATTAAAATGCTTTCTTTCTATCCTATGAACAAAGAAAAACCACTAGAGGGATCTGTGAGTGTGTGTGTGTGTGTGTGTGTGTGTGTGTGTGTGTGTGTGTATGTGATGGGCAGATTTGCATTTCAAAAAGATCATTCTGGTCGTGTAATGGAACAGACTGGAGGGAGCCAAGAGTAGTGGCAGACAGCTCAGTTGGGAGTCTACTGCAACGGTTTGGGTGAGAGATGAAGGTGATTTGGTCAGGGTGGTAAATGATGGAGATAGTGAGAAATTGATAGAGTCAAGAGACGTATCGAGGTAATTTCCATCAGACAAGATTATGGGTTAGTTATGGCAGGTGAGTGAAAGAATAGAGGAGAGAGAGAGAGAGAGAGAGAGAGAGAGAGAGAGAGAGAGAGAGAGAGAGTTGGTTTGTATAATTGAATGTATTGTGGCAATTTAGTAAAATAATAGAAGACCCAACTTGGAGAGAATATGACAAATTCAAGAAGTTGGGGCATGTTGACTCTGAGACATTGACGGACTATTTAAGAGAAGATGTCAAGTAAACAATTGGTTATAAAAATGTGGAACTCAAAATAGAGATCTGTTCTAGAGACAGGGGTTTGTGACTCATTTGTGCATAGGTGTAAATTCATGAAACTCTAGTTGTAGAGAAACTATAGAGTGAGAAGAGAACAGGAGGCTGGGTCAAAGCCTTTAGCCCAGTAGAATAGAATCTGCAAAAGAAATAGAGAAGGAGTGGCCAGAGAAGTGAAGACAGTAAGTATAGATAAACTTTCTTGAAAGAATTTGACTGTGATGGGAGGAAAAAGATGGAAGTGCCTGCAGGGAGATGTGGAGTTTTGATTTTTTATTTCAAGAGACTGAAATATGTTTTAAAACAGGAGGGAAAAGCTCATTAGGGAAAGGAGCTGATAATTGATGGTGTAAGGTTTCTGAAAGGGCAGGAGGTTATGAGATCTAAAGCACAGTTGAATTTCTATCTGATGCTTTCAATTACTTTTTCCTTTGAAGTAGGAGGCATGATTATCTGATAAACATATGGAGGTGGAGTTTGAGGACGGGGAAGGTTTGAAAAAATTATTGCAGAGTAAGAGTACAAACTGACTAGAGAGAAGTAGTAGGGTGGCTGGGCAGAGAGAAAAGCTTATGTGAGGTTAGTGGGCATGAATTTATAGAAACACTTAATTTATCCTCTTGTGTGACTGGCCAGCAATGCTTGATTGCTCAAGCACATGTATGGAGATGGACAGTAGGACTGACCAGAGTTGATGGGAGAAGATTGGCAAAGGAGGATACTACCAGCATCTTAAAGTCTCTTTGCCTCTACTTTCCTCCCATTCCTACCCATCCTGTTCACTGCCATGAAATTCCTTTTCCTTAAGGACTGCTTTTTTATCAACCCATTTTTCTTACTGAAGAATCCATAGTCTTTCAGATGGTGTGGTGGTTCAGAATACAGATGATAAACCTTGGTTTGAATTCCAGGTAAGAATTTGAGAAATTCATGTGAAGTTTCTGAGATTCCATTTTCTTCAACTCTAACATGGGGATGATTGTAGTATTTACCACACAAAGTTAGGTGGAGTAAATGAGAGAGCTTGCAGCACTGTGTGTGGCTTGTAATAAGTGCTCAATACATGAAAGCAGCTGCATTACCTTCTCTCATCTGTGTCCCCAGCTTCCCCTTCAGATCTCACCCTAATCTATTATTCTTTCTGATCCTTATTCAACACACGGCCTCCCACTCCCGGCTACACTGATCTTCCATTGCCTCCATATCCTCGGCCATATGTCCTTGCCTTCTCTACTCAAACCCCATCCTTCCTCAAAGGTGTGAAGCTTCTAAGATGAAGTCTCTGCACTAGCTTGAAGCCAGTTTACTCTTTCACTGCACTGATTTCCCATTGCACTTTGAAGATACGTGGAGCCCGATTATATCCCATTGTTCACTTTATTGTAAATTTTATCATTATTTTCCTTCTAAGTGTTATTTTAACTGCTGTTTAAAAATATTTCAGTAAAACAAATCTTTTCCAATAAAAGCATGCATTTTTTGAGGAAAGGAATCATGCTATAAATCTATTCATTTCTCACAGGAATTAGAATTGTTTCTTTGTTTGCCTGTTTGGTGGTGCCAGGGATTGAACTCAGGACCTTGCACTTTCAAGGCAGGTGGCGGAACCACTGAGCTAAATCCCCGGCCCAGGACTTAGAATTGTATTCATGATACTTGTTAAGTTTAGTTGACTTGAATGGAGGCATAAGCTGGGCTCCACTGGCCTTCAAGCTGGGGTCACACATTCCCAAGGGGTGCACAGACAATCTGTTAGAGTGCAGAAGGAAGATATTACTTATATTTACTTCATCACATCTTTTTGACATTTCTATTTTTGTGTATGTTTATAATGTACATGATACAAATTTATAATATACACGCGTATGTTATTGATAAATATGTATTTATCTATATACATCATGGGCAATGACAGAGACAGAGAGAGAGAGAGAGAGAGGTGCATGTTCAAGAATTTTTTTTTTTGTACCGGGGATCGAACTTGGGACCTTGTGCTTGCAGGGCAGGCAGCGGAACCACTGAGCTAAATCCCCAGCCCAAGAAATTTTAATTTTGAGGTTCTAGATAAAAATATTTTCAAGCTATAGTGTTCAAATGAATGATAAAAAATGACAAATTGAATGTCTACCATTTTGGAGGCACTTACTCTGTGCCAGAAGCTACACTGAATGTTTTATATATATTAACTCACTCAATCTCATGACAATTTTTAAGGTAGGTATTATTATAACCTTTACATTTCAGAGGAGGATATTGAAGCACAGAGAGGGTAAATAACTGTACAGGGTTATATGCTAAGCAAGTGATGTAGCCAAGATCAAAAATTACATCTATTTGAATTCAAAGCTAATCTTTTTGGGAAGATTTTAAACTATGCAATTCAATTTCTTTCATAGGTGTAAACTAATCAAGTTATTTCTTCTTAAGTAGTTTTGATAGCTATGTCTTTCAAGGACTTAGTTCCTTTCCTAAAGCTAATCCTCTTAATCAGTATACTATTCTAGTATGTATCTCACTTCTGGGAATGCTCATATTTTGAACAAAGTTACTAAGAAATAGATTTTGTCCTACTAGTTATGTAACCAGGGTATAATGAGAAGTATATAGAGATTTTACAAAGTAGAACATCCTCCAAGAGAAATTAAGTAATCAAGCAACTTGATTTTATCTGTGATATTTATCTCTTAAAAATGAAAAGAAATTATACTCCCATTTCTTAAATAATTAGCTCTTATTTCTAACACTGAGTCCAGATTAACACACCCTTTCTGATTTTTCAGTTGTTTCAGAAAATATGACAGTTCAAGAAATGAGTACAACTTTGTCACACCAAATAGAGTTGACAACTCCTTCCCAAGTTACTGGACTAAAACCACAAAAGACTCTACATTACTCTACTGTGAAGTCTAAAAGCATGCCTGTATTTGCAACTGATTATATGACTATATTATATTCCAATACAACATTACCACCTTCGGAAACAACTACATCAAAAATTTTAAGAACATCTATAGCTAAAACAGATACTTCCGCAGGAGGTGCTTTATCTACTTCAGCAGCCACAACCCTGCCTACCCAGAATACATCCATATGCAATGCCACTGATTCCATGAAAATGACTAAATCTCCATCTTCAGAAATCACAAGGACAACAAAAACAGTGGAAGCCGTGGCCACTAAGACCTTTCATCCAAGTATAGCTACTAATTTCCTTTCCACATCTGGATTTACCAAGAATTCAATTGCATCCCAAACTTCAGTGATTGAAACTCATTCAGTCATTATGAAGACAACATCTTTATTTTCAAGTATTGAGTCAACATCCATGTCTACAGCATCTTGGCCCAAACACAAATCTACTGATATTGCAGCACTTCCTATCTCCACATCTGGACAAGAGTTTCTTGTGTCTTCAGCTGCTGGGACTGTACCTCGGTCCACAGTAGGAGGGACTTCAGCTAAAAGTACCAGCATTAGGACTACATCAGCATTCACACCCAAGCCACTGCTTATCTCCACAACTACTTCTGTGGATTCTGTATTTCCTAGAAATGAGACAGCATCTACCTTGGGAACAATTGACAAGGCAATACCATTTACAATTCATTCAGTGATGCCTACTGAGACCATGCCTGCCCTAATTACAGCAGAAACAGAATTGACATCTATAAACTTCCAGAATGTCTCTTCATTCCATGTGGAGGATGCCATATCTACCTTTATGCCGCAAGAGACCTCTTCTATGGCCCTTTCTCTCATGACATCCTTTCCAAATCCTGGAACTCAGAGTGGACAGTCGGGCACTGATGCTGAGAGTTCACATACAACCTTAACTCCTGGAATCACACTTGGACCTGCAGTGACTGAAACTATGCCCTCCCTCACACTCACAGGGCCAGTTTATACCCAGAATACACCCACAGCTGGTGACCACATGTTCACTCTGATTTCCACTCTATCAGCTTCCACATCTGAGGCATTTGAATCAGGCCCCACATCTTTAACTGACGAAACTGCCCATTGGTTTTCCTCCAAGGAGACAGCATGGACTTCTAGGTCAGGCCAGACTCTGCTGACATCTATTAATACAACTACCATACTTACATTTGTGCCTAATGAAAATGTCACGCCAGCACTCTATGGGAATACTACTAACACAGAAAATTCATCCAAAACTACTAATCTTGTCACCCCACCAGAATCATCCATGGAAAACAAGGCTATCACTAGCACTGATGCTACTGCAGTCAGATATACATCAACTCTATCCAAACTGACATCTCCATGGCTTGCTAATTTCTCCACCATTTCTGGAACCACATCTGTAACTAATCTGCCTGAATTTAAACCCACCACCTTACTAAAAACCATCCCTGTACCCATGATAGCTGCAAATGAACTTCCTTCAACACCAAGGGAGACAGTTGTCTCACCAGTAGATATAGTATCTACCCTTGCTGACATTAAATTGAATTTTTCTACTGAAGAGAGCACTTCTGAGACTAAACACAGAGAAACAGATGGTACAAGTGTATTTGGTGATACAACAGCCCCTGCACCGAAGTCAGCAACAACACAAAGATTCAATGGTACTATGACAACTAAAGAAACATCTTCCCTTCATCTTAAAGGAAAATCAACTATAGCAGCAGTGTCTGAGGTTTCTTTGTTTTCGACAGTGCTGGAACTGACAGATGAATCACAAACAGTGACAGCTTCTGTCACAGTTTCCCCTTTCACCAGTGTAGAAAAATTGACTATTTCATTGAACAATAAAACTGCAACTACTGAGGTAGAAGGGAGTTTGCTTTCAACATTGATGAAAACCACACCTACGTGTTCATACAATGGAACTACAGAAATCTTTAATTTGACCCACACCTATATAGCACACCGGACTTCAGAGACACCCGAGGGGCATACAGCTCTATCTCCCACTCCTGAGAGTACCCAGACATTCATTGAACCCCTGTATACTTCCACCACAAGGATAATAGGAACCCCTACAGACAGAACAGCTATGTCCTTGTCTTCTGGTATCTTGCCACCAAAGACTGCAGATATTCATTCACCAGCCAGCCCTATGCCTATTACTCAAACGTTCTCACTGCCAGTTACTGTCTCGCCTGTCGCCTCCATAGTGGTGTCTGATGAAACTAAGGTGATTACACCTAACCATTCTGCATTGGCCAAGGATTTTTCCACATCTCTCCCCTCAAATGTTTCAAATCTGTCATCAGCTACAATGACTACAGCATTGGTGCCACCATCGAATCAAACAGCTTCTATGACCATTGATACCATGCCTACACCTACAGATTCATTTCATACCACTTCAGAGGCCACAATGATCTCTACAACAATGACACCCATGGCAGTTCTCTCTCAGACAGAAACTGTAGTCCCCTCACTGAGATCCGTCATTCCTGTTACAAGTAAGACTAAGGCCACCCTTCCTTCCACCTCAGCTGACACAGTAACTCTATCCACACACACTCTTGTTTGCTCAAAACCAGCTCCTGACAACATTCCTATTGTGTCTTCTACTCATGCGATCTCAACTATATCTACACCAGTAGCAACTCAACCCATATCACAAGTGGAGGAAATGTCTACCTTTGCTCTTAGCTTTCCGTTTACTTTCAGTGTCAGTGGAGATGTTGTTAGTTTGGGTACTGGCACCACAGATATCTCTAATGTTGCTGAGACCATACCTTTGCACACCTCTGCCAAGAAACGTACTGCCTCAGTAGATGTCCACATTTCTCAGTCTTCCACACATTTTGTAAACATGTCAGCCTCCACCCAATTAGTGAATGGCATCTCTACCTTATCTTCTGACAAAGAGCAGATGACTATCCCACTGGGAGAAACCTCTAGAACTTTGGCGATGACAGAGATATCCCCATCAAAAAATTCTTTTATTTCCTATTCCCAGAGTACTTCATCTTTGGAAATGACTGATTCAGGAATTTCTGAGACCACAAAAGTTTCCAGCCACCAAACACATTCACCTTCAGAGATTCCACTTGGAACTCCAACTGATAGGAATTCAACTTTATCTACCACTTCCAGGAGCATCCAGACTACACCTACCTTGACTTCAAGTAACACAGGAGATGTTCACATCTCAGAGATGTCTAACAGCCTTGGGAAAACAACATTCCCTTCACAATCTCTGACAAGAACTACCTTTTTGCCTCCTGAAAAGGAAAGTACAAATGTCCTTTCAATATGTACTCCCAGGACTGTGGGAATGATAGTAAATTCCTCCTCTGTGACTCGCCAGGATGCTTCCTTTGTAGATACCACAACTTCCAGGACAACCAGAATATCAAATCCCGAGTTCATCAACACAACTCTTTCACAGTTCTCTTCACTTAAGACTCAACCTGAGGTGACTTCAATTGCCTCTTCCATTTCAGAAAGCATACAAAGTTTCCCTAAGTCCTTGTCTCCTTCCACAACTGGACCATCCAATGCCAATTTTACAGTTCCCTCTATTGATGGGATCACTACAGCCCTTTCTGTTCCAAATGTACCTACACTTCTTGGGGAAACACATACGACAATGTCAATTCCAATTCCCCAAACGTCGCCATTTCCAGTTAATGTCACTGCATTCACCTCCAAAAAAGTTTCTGCTCCTTTCACAATACTAATGACTAAATCTTCCAAAACAACATACCCAGGTTGTTTGAAAAGTTCTTCGATAGCCACTTCTGGACCTATGTCTGATATAGCTTCAATTTCAGTTAGCGACTCTACTTTCTCAACTGCAGCAGTTTCTTCTGACACTTCCACAACAGTTGAGTCTTTTTCTATTTTATTGTCTCCAACTACCCCTAGGACTACTATGACTGCACAAACGTCTACATTGAATGTCACACTTGTGACATATAGTGGGCTGACTTCAAAAAGCATGGTGGTTTCCTCTGCTTTCGCTACTTCAGAAATGACAGAAGTGCCCTCCAGGATCACTCCTACATCTGTTTCCTCTCCAACAGAGACAACTTTTCTGTCCATGAAAACCATTCCAACCACTATTATGGCTGGGACAGTGACTTCAGTTGTAGACAGAGCTGCCTCTTCTTTACTCAGCTCTAAGAACACTGAAGCTATTTCCTCCATTCCAAAGGCCACCCTTTTTCCATCATTATCAACAACTCAGCAATCACCACAAGAAGATGAGTCCATCCCTCTGGGAGTATTACCCGGGATTACTAACAGCTCCCTATCTACTGTGAGCAATGCTAGAGTGACAGCTCTCACAAATACTTATTTTAGAACTCCTGTCCCCAAAACAGTGCTTTCATCTACTCCTTCAGATAATCATCATACTTCCTTGAATGTTCAGGTTTCCCCATCTTGGACTAACTTTACAAGCACACCTGGACCTACAGAAAGTATAAAAGCTTCCACCACTTACCTTTCCTCTAAAACACGAAAGATGATTTCTTTGTCAGAAAATACTTCCTTAACAGCTGAGTTCACGAAAAGCACCACATCTAAGGATATTCCTGTTTTATACCCTTCATTGACCCCATCCAGTGAAACTACACCCTCTTTGACATCACTTCTTCCTTCACCTCGTGGTACTGAAACCAAGTTTTCTACTCCAAAGATTTCTCCTACATCCCAAGTGGTTGGATTTCCAGTTATGGGAACAAGACTCACATCAAGTAACACCCAGTCTTTGCTTGTGACTTCCTGGAACACACATAGAGCTGAAGATTCTCAGTTTCCACTTTCCACCATGACTCACATGCCTACACCCAACAAGATGGAAACAGAGACTCTACACCCTGTTCCTGGGTTTTTGTCAACGTTTGCAGCCTCTCAGACTAGTCTAGTCTCTAGAGATGCTACGGCAGCATCATCCAGTCCCACATCAGGAATTTTTCCTACCTTCGGGATTTCTGAGAGCCCTTCATTATCAACATCTTTAAGGGCTATCCCTACTAGTTGGCCTGATATTAAGCACACATTTGAGAAAACAACCGCATCTGTAATTCCTGGGACTACACTCCCACCAAATCCTCCTCTAATCCCCAAGACCACCACTTCACCCATGCTGACTTGTATTTTATCTAGTCTTCCATCAGGTCTCCCCCTGACAACAGTATCTAATGCTCCTAATGTTGTAACATCCTCTATGGTAGAGGTGTCAAAGTCCACATTTCCTACTTCTGACATGATCTCAGCATATACATTCACTAACTTTACAACACTACCATCTGCTACTGGAAACACCATACTCACCAAAATCACTCCTACACCTACACTAGGAAGTATCACTACTGGCTCCCCAACTTCTCTCCCTATGTCTACAAAAATCACAGATAACAGCATGTACATTCTCACATCCCCTGAGATAGCCTCCAGAACTACTATGATGGACAATTCCAGGACTGTGTTTCAATCTCCATCCTTTAGTAGAATGAGTATATCACCTTCTACAACTGATCACAGTGTATCTTTTGGTTCCACGCTTCTACCTAGTCCTACAAAAATATCTGCATGGAGTAAAATCCCAGATACATCAGCTTCTCCTACTTTAATTCTTCCCAAGTCCACACTGGACTCTCTTATAAATATAACCACGACTACATCTACCACTACTGGAACCTCATTTCCATTCATATCCACAGGATTGGCACATTCTTCTAAAGCTGTTGTGTCCTCTATTGAGACAACTTGGCCAGACTCTATGTTTTCCTTTCTAACTACAGAAGCATTGACCTCATCAATTGCCGGTGAGTCCATAGGTACTGTTCCTTTATTCGAATATTTGAACAATGGGCCATGTGTTCTCCAAGGGTCAGTTCTCTGAAGGCAGAGAAGCATGAAGAAAGGTCCAGGTGTTTCTTGTCTTCTTGGGACACTTGGTACAATGAATACCTTGTTCAAACTCAGAATTCCATAGCTTTGTTCCCTATGTTTATTGAAGCATAATTGAAATATATGTTTTCACTCAGTATGACATTTCTAAGCCTCTTTCCTAGTTTTGTCTCCAAGTCCTGACTCTGCCTCTGCCTACGTGAACACAGATAAGGAACATCACTGTGACCCAGAAAGAGAATCATATGACATTAGGTCTAAACATGTTTACCACACGTGAGGAAACAGGAAATATCCTATCCTGACTTTTTTGTTGTACTAAGGGTTGAACCTAGGGCTTTTATACTAAACTATATCCCCAGCCTCTTTAAAACAAAATTTCAAGACAGGATCTCACTAAATCGGGGAGGACTCTAATATATGATCCTCCTGCCTCAGCCTCCCACAATGGTGGGATTACAGAAGTGTGCTACCATGTCCAACTCTGTCATTTGAATTCCTCTTATGTAGGTCTCAGCCTTCACCACTCTGTCCATCCAGCTGGCTGGGAATACTTTGTTTTTCCCCATTAACTTTATTGGTACATTTTAGGTATACAATACAGTTACATTCATCATTGGGATCTTGTACCATTACATGAGTCTCTTGGTTCTTATTTTTTT